AAAGCAATTTCCTCAGGTGGCTACTATTTGCTCCAAAACATCTTCAAAGAACATCGGAGGTACCATCTAGATGTGACAAAGCAAGCGGAGCAGATGCACATTGCAGACATGCTGTCACAAGCAGCACTCCCGATAGAGAAAGCAGAGGGTACTACGACAGAGTGTCAAATCTTCCAGATGCAACATGAGGCAGGAGCACATCACGTATTGGAAGTCAATAACTCAGCAGAGATGTTGCCTTGATAAATGCCTTGATCAAATTGAGTGACCTACTCAATGTGATGCAACTGTACAAAAGAAATCAAGTCATTATTCTGAAGGAGTTGAGAGAAAAGATGCTAAGGTGCGTCCGTGTAAGCAATTTAGTCAATTCTGAGGAAGGTGAGAGACATACTCTACTGGCCAAACGTGAGCAATGTTGCCAGGTATGAAAGGTTTGAGTTATAAGGAGAGGCTGAATAGGCTGGGACTTTTTTCACTGGAACATAGGAGGTTGACAGGTGACCTTATAGAGGCTTATAAAATCATGAGAGGTGTAGATAGGGTTAATGGTCGGAGACTTTTCTCTTAGATGGGGGATTTAAAGACTAGGGCATATATTTTAAAGGTGAGAGGAGAGAGATTTAAAAAAGACATGAGGGGCAAATTGCTTTACCACAGAGAGTGGTTCGTGTGTGGAATGAACTTCCAGACGAAATGGTGGATGTGGGTACAGTTACAATGTTTAAAAGATGTTTGGATAAGTACATGAATAAGAAAGGTTTGGAGGGATATGGGCCAAGCGCAGGCAGGTGGGACTGGTTTACTTTGGGATTATGTTCAGCACAGACTGGTTGGACCGAAGGGTCTGTTTCCGTGCTGTATGACTCTATGACCACATCAGCCAGTGCAGTGCTTGTAATGTGTACCAGGCTAAGAACTGATGACACATGACATCACAGACAGACCACAGATGAAGCTGACAGTAAACCTTTTCACACTCACAGGAACTGATGACCTTGTCAAGTATATGACCATTGGAAGCTGACTTAAAAGCTCAGATGATCAAATGCCCGAACACACACTTTAACCATAATAGAATTCCCAATGTTGTGATGAGCAATAATGGCTCTCCGTTCATGAGTGAAGCATTCAGTCACTTCATAAAGAATTGGGAATTTCAATGCCACTCATCAACTCCACACTACCCCCAGTGAAATTGAAAGGTTGAGGAGGCAGTGAAATTCACAAAACATGAGCAAATCCCTGACAGATGTATACAGATCCTCAGCTGGAGAAACATACCCATTGAAGGCATGGATGGTAGTCTATTACAAAGATGAATGTGACATTGCACCCAACCTACTCTTCTGATAGCAAAAAAGCTACTAAAGCCAGGAATAGTAACAGGCAGGAGTGACAAAATCAAGGTGAAACAGCAGAAAGCCAAACTGCTTTTTGACAAGGCTGCCAAACCATTAACAGAGTTGAGCATCGGAGAGTCAGAGAGAGCACAAACCTTCAACACTCTCAACAAGAGTCAGCCCAAGTAACAACTTGGCACCTACAGCGAGCAGTTGTCACCTTGGAAGTGAATGACCAGCTATACTATCACAGCCATAGGGGCGTACACACAACTGGAGGAGCTGTCCCTCAACTGCTCAGGAAGGTGTCCATTCACCATCTGCACATCCACCAATCAACCATCAGACCCAGAGATCCAAAGCAACCCAACCATAGAAATTAAACCAGACCAGGTACCACGGCAACAATACAGGGCGTGGGAATGACACTCCCCAGGGAAGGAACATCACCCAGATGAACAGGCAATAACGCACGTGCATACCATCAGAAGACCAGCAAGACGTAAAGTCTGTGTGTGCATGCAGTTTCAAATAACGCATGCAATTTTGTTTTTTGCTTGCTGTGGAAAGAGGATGTTTGGATTGAAATTCAGTTATGCACAAATGTCCTTCCTGGTCTGTGATAACAATGTGTCCTCTGTCACAAGACACACACGCAGATAGTGGCTATTTTATAGGCACGTCAATAAAGACATGGTGTAGACAAAGGCTGTTGTCTGATGGGATTTGAACCCAAGCATCTAGCTCAGAAGCAGAGACACCACCCACTGCACCATAAGACTTGCTGCCATTTAGTTGGTTGGCATTGTGATCAATAATCTGTTACATGACAAGACCAATTCAGATGATGAAGACTCATAGAGTTATAAAGTCATAGAGTCATACAGCATGGAAACAGGCCCTTCTGCCCAACTCGTTCATGCCAGCCAGGTTTCCTAAACTGAACTAGTCCCATTTGTTTATATGTTGAGGGATCACAGGATCAAGTCAAGCTTGTACAAGAAAGAGGACAACCACATAGCACAGATTTTCACTCATGACTGGACTATTAAAAGTTGTTGCTTTTGTCTTTTAAAAAAAAACTGGATGAATTTTATCTTTGGCCTTCTGCAGCCTAAAATCTGATATGGCAAATTATTTTGGTCCTCATAAATGAAAAGGACCCATTTGTAATAATGTTGTACTTAAAAGGAAATTGAATTCAATAGAATTTACAGCTCAGTAGTAGGCCATTCAGCCCAACTAGTCCCTGTTGTCCATAAAGCACAAGTCTATGTACCATTTCACTCCTCCTTCACATATTCATCTCACTACCCCCTAAAAGTATTCATTATATACATTTTAACCACTCCCTGTAGGAGAGAGTCCCACATTCTCCATACTGTCTGGGCAAAGAGCTTTCTTCCGAATTCCCAATGGGATTTCTCAGCAACTCGTATTGATAGCCTCTAGTTCTGCGCTTCCCTAGAAGAGAAAATAATCTCTCTGTATCCACTCGATCAAAATTTCTGATCGTTTGTGGGTGGCACAGTGGCTCAGTGGCTAACACTGCTGCCTCCTAGCACTAGGGACCCAGGCTCAGTTCCAGCCTTGGGTGACTGTGTCGTGTTTGCACATTGTCTGTGTGGGCACCCTCTGGGTGCTCTAGTTTCCCCCCCACTGTCCAAAGATGTGCAGATTAGGTAGTTTGGCCATGCTAAATTGCCCATAGTGGCCGGGGGGGCGGGTCTAGGTGGGATGCTCTTCAGAGGGTTGGTGTGGCTTCAATGGGCTGAGCGGCCTGCTATCACACTGTAGGGATTCTACATCTTTTAAAGACCTCGATCAAATCACTCCTCAGCCACCTTTATTCATGAGAAAACAGAGCTACGCTGAGAATCCTTTCCTGATATGTAAACCCACACATTTCTGTCTCACCCTTGTAAATTTACTCAGCACCCTCTCCTGTGCCTCTCTATCCTTTTAATAGTTTGATGACCAGAACTGTACACAATACTCCAAGTGTGGTCTCATAAAGCTTTGATACAAGCTTTGTGTAACTTTGCTTTTCAATTCTACAGCTTTAGAAATAAACCCAAGTGTTTGGCTTTTGTCATGGTTTAATTAACCTGCATCAGAATTTTAACAGTCTTGCGTTGGTTGACTTTGTTTCATTGTCTCATTTATTGTTGCTAACAATCTAGTAGCAAGCCTTACAATTGGCTCACGGGTTCATATGAGGAACTGTAGGGGCATACTGCACACTAGTGGTGGCATAAGGAACAGCACCTTTTATTATGTATCAGAGATAGTAGGAACTGCAGATGCTGGAAAATCTTGTTATCTCACCTTTTATTATGTGGCTCTTTTCGTGCCGAGAGGCACATTAGGCATTAACAAGGTGTAGAGCTGAATGAACACAGCAGGCCAAGCAGCATCAGAGGAGCAGGAAGGCTGATGTTTTGGGTCTAGACCCTTCTTCAGAAATGGGGGAGGGGAAGGGGATTCTGAAATAAATAGGAGAGAGGGGGAGGCGGATAGAATATGGATAGAGGAGAAGATAGGTGGAGAGGAGACAGACAGGTCAAAGAGGCAGGGATGGAGCCAGTAAAGGTGAGTGTAGGTGGGGAGTTAGGGAGGGGATAGGTCAGTCCGGGGAGGACGGACAGGTCAAGGGGGCAGGATGAGGTTGGTCGGTAGGAGATGGAGGTGCGGCTTGAGGTGGGAGGAGGGGATAGGTGGGAGGAAGAACAGGTTAGGGAGGCGGGGACGAGCTGGACTGGTTTTGGGATGCGGTAGGGGGAGGGGAGATTTTGAAACTTGTGAAATCCACATTGATACCATT